GTGGTGGGGAGGGAGGGGCAGTGTTATGGATGGGAACACCACGCCCCTCTTCCTTTCTACCCTCCCCTCTTTTTTACTCAGGGCAAAGTCCTCCCCCCTCATAGGCTTATTCCCGCTTGACGTCACGGCCGCCTTCGGGCGCGCTCGGGAGGGGGTCGGGCGCGCTCGGGCGGCGTCGGGCGCGCTCGGCGGCGCGACGCCCCTCGCGCAGCAGTGGATCTCGGGCCGCGCCGCGCCGCAGTTCGAGCGCCGTAGCCTAACGCGGGACACGTTGGAAGTGATCGGTGACCCTCCCCCTCCCCTCCTAGGCGCTCGCGGTCGGTGGCACCGGCCCGGCGAAGACGGCCGGGCGGATGCGGATGCGCGTGTGCAGTGATGCGGTGAGCGCGTGCGCGAGTGCCGTGCGTCGGGAGCCATGAGCTCCACCCTGAGCGTGCAGCGGTGGTTCCGCAGCTCCGCCGACCTGGCCGCCACGGCCGGCGAGCTGAGTCGCCACGCGCGCGAGTTTGGATTCACTTTCGTGGGCGACGACGATGACTTTGTGAAGAAGGAGTGCGCGTCGCTGCCCCCGGTGCCGCCGCTCATCCCCCTCGGGGAGGCGGCCGGGCGGCTGAAACAGGTCAGTAGTGATATCGATTGTGATGACAGTGGCGGATCGAGTGTGGAGCCGGGCAGGTACGGCGGAGTGATAATGGTGAATAGTGACACGCGAGGGGGCAGTGACGATGAAGACAAACTGCTGCGCCTGTTCGGCGGCGGCGACAGCGACTCGAACAGTGTGGGGGTGGAAGTGGCGGGGGAGTGCAGTGGTGCTAGTGTGGCCGAGGGCGGGAAGATGTGTGCGGAGGGCGAGTGCGCGGTGGTGTTGGACCCGCTGCCCTCCGAGCTATTGCGTTCGCTCAGCAGCCAGGGTAGGGTGAGCGCAGGGCGGGCTTGCGGGCAGGCAGCGGCGGCGGACAGCGCCGCGGCCGCGACCGGCTCCGGCCCGGCCAGTGTGGAGGTGCGCGGGTTACTGCAGGATCTCGTTAGTGAGGTCGCCACCCGCGAGGAGCGCTGCGATCAGGACACCCGGCGATCGCCGCGCGCCTCGCGGCAGGACGTGCAAGCTGGTGCGGCCGCCGCCACCGGCACCCCATCCCCCGCATCCGCCGTTACCACCACCCTCCCCGCCGACGCGCAGCCACCGCAGATCGATGCTGCGCAGGCGGCGGAGTCACGTGACGACGACGACGGCGCGACGGACTCTGCGGTGGTGGCAGCGGCGGCGGCGCCCCGGAAGACGCGCCACCGCAAGTCGGAGAGCCCCCGCAAGGCAGTGCGCCGGCGCAGGGAGCGGCGGTCCAGCAGCAGCGGGGGCGGCGGCGCGCCCGCTAAGAAGCACCGCAAGCGCTCCACGTCCACGTGCTCTACCACCTCGTCCACGTGCTCCAACTCGAGCGCGCGCCAGCAGCAGCACCACCACCACCGGCACCACCACAAGCACCATAAGCACCGGAGGCGCAGCGGTGGTGGCAGCAGCAGCCCGGTGCCCGCCGAGGAGCCCAACCCGACGCCGCGCGTCAACCCCATTTTCGTGTGGATCAAGCAGGACAATACGCGAATCGTGGAGGTGCTGTGCGAGGACTACGACAAGCGGAACCGGATTCGGTTGACGCGGACGGCGCACGGGTGGCGGGCGGTGCCGCGCACCGAGCGCCTCGCCTCCAGCACCGTCACCTCCGCCGACGTGCTGAGGCCGCAGCAGCAGACGACACCGCCCCCGCCGTTGCAGCAGCCCCTGCCCGCGGCGGCCGCCGACTCGCCCAGCGAGGCGGCCGTCGCGCCCGCTTCTAGTACCTCAGGCAGCCACGGCGAGGCGCTGGCGGACGAGCAGTGCGCCACGCCCCTGGAAGATGGCAGCACCGTCGACCAAAACAACTCTACGTCACTAGTCCCCGCCTCCTTTCCTGATTGCCCCACTTCGAAAGACGGATCTGTCATCGAAGAGGAAGAAGCCAAAGATGAAGAAGATGATGTCGACGACGATGACGACGTGGAGGATGTACAAATGGTCGAAGGAGTTGAGCGTGAGAGCCCAGTGAAAGAAGTAATTGAGTTGGACGATGATGAGATGGAGAGGTATGGTGTTGATATTGTTGATGGACAGGCAAGTGAACTAGTGGAAGATAATGCTGATGAAATTAGTCATGAACCTGAAGTGAATGAACCGGAGGAAGCAGAGGCGTTTGAAAAAGAAGTCGAAGAAGGTGGAGAGGAGGAGGAAGAAGAGGAGAGGCCTTCCGTTCCAGAAGTATTGATTGATGATGAAGCGAGCAATGTTCATGACAATGTGTTAGATGAGGAGGAGGAAGAGGAAGAAGTAGTACAAAAAGATGATGTGGAAAATATGAGTGAGAAGGATGACAATGAATTAATTGATGAAACTGAACCACTTGAATCTGAAATGGCTGAACAAGAACCTCTTGAACCAGAATCTCTTGTAGTGAATGCAGATGAGGAAAAATGCCCCTCACCTGACCATGTTGAAGAATCTGAAGAGCCATTGGCAACAGATGTTGATGTAGCGATGGATGACATTTGTGATGACGACATTGCTCCTGAAGAGGAGGAAGATGATGCTCTTGCTCCTACTGATCTGAGTTTGCCAAAGGCTCATGGTAATCAAGATATTCCTGTTAATTGTAAGAATATTCCACGCAACATTTCTACTGTGATTCCTCCTGTAGTTCCTTCTCCACAACCTAGGTCCTGCCCTGCATACCCACCTGTTACTCCAGCTCATCAAACAAAACCACAACATACATCCAAGTTCCTTGAATCACTCCTTTCATCTCCAAGAAAGTGCCATGAATTGCCCCGCAGGTCAAGTTCAGAAGCTGATAAAGGACCGGCCCCACTGGATCTAGGTGTAACATCAGCCAATAGGGGTGCTGGTAGTCCAACTGTCAGCTGTTCCGATGAGAGCAGGAAAGTGTCTCGACCTGCCAAAGAACCTGCGGAAGGAGAACCCAAGGCCAAATGCCTTAAAATTGAAGATATAACATTGAAGAATCTTCTTAGCAGGCAACCAGATACAAATCAAAATGCAACGGAATTGGATCTTTCCCTCGCTGCTAAGAAAGATGATGCAGTTGAATCTGGCAGAAAGTCTCGACTGTTGGAGCTATTGACTTCTGAACCATCTCCTGCATCTGTGTCTCCTAGTCCTGTAATGGATCCTCTTACTCAACTAAAGAGGGTAATGACAGATCCTGATATTACTGTTCCTGACCCATTATTGGTGCCTCGGGATAGACTTCAAGAACTCGTTTCAAATCCAGCCAGGGAAATTCCAAGGTTATTAACATCCAGGCCAGAATTGAGGCTACCAGAGGCTCTCAATTACCCAGCGTTGCTGCGAGACCCAGATCTTCTGGTTGTGTCCCTCACTCATTTACAGACACTTCTTCAAAAGTCTGAAAAAGTTGCAAAAGAAAGTGATAGTATGCAATGCAGCAATTTTGGCAATTTCTTGGAATATCAAATGTATCAGAATCAACATCAAGCAGCTGCTGTAGCAAAAGAATTCTTTGATTCACAGATTAAATTGCAGCAGCAACAGGAACATCAACATCAGCAGCAACAACAACAGCAGCAGCAACAACATCAAAAACAACAGCAACAACACAGGCATCAGGAGCAACAGAGGCATCAACAGCAATTACAACAACAGCAGCAACAACAACAACAACAACAATCTCAACATGAACTGGATGCTGCTGCGGCTGCAGCTTTGAACCAGATGCTGTGGCTGCCCTACCTAACTCAATTGGAAGCAGCTGCAGCAGCTTGCGGAAACCCTCAAGATTTCCTTTCAATCCTGAACACAGTTTTTCCACCCAATTATCCACAACCAGAACAACCTATTCCTCCCCCTCCTCCCAATCACATTTATGGTGCATTAAATCCGGTTTTCCATTCCTCCGATATGAAGAGTCAGATGGAGATTCAAAATGCTATCATGTTGTGGCATTCTGCAATGACACAAGCAGCCAGTGCAAATGCTCTAAACAATAACAACAATAGCAGCACTAGTAATAATAACCACAGATCTGCAAAAACTCCAGCAAATAATGTAAGCAAGAACAACTATGCTACAAGTAATGGCAGGTATCCACAGCAAAATTCAAGGAAATATAACTCGTCCTCTGCTAGAACTAGTCCCCTTACTCCTAATAACTTCCACTCTCCCCCACCTGCTCCTTCTCCTCAGCTGCGAGGGACAAACAATCATGCAGCTGCCACAGCTGCATATCTTGCTGCTGCAAGTGGTGGGGTTGGAAATGGTGCTACAGCAGTTGGCAGCGGATATCCAACCTCATCTCAACTGCACCAACAGTACAACATGCAGAGGAGTCGTCAGCCCAGTTCTGGTAATACATCCTTGAACATCCCAAAGACAAATCTAAGTGTCGCAAAAGCAAATTCCTTACGTGACTTGAAAGTGAATAACGGACAGTTGAATGTATCTTGTAAGACTCTTTTCAACCTACTTGATGGTCAACAAGTTCATCATGACGTACCTACACAGTCACACACACAGTCCTTGTTGAGTTCTCAAAGTGCCCTGCAACGACAGCAGCAGCAACAACAGCAGCATGCTCATCTCTTAGCAGCCCTCGGCAAGTCTTCAGCAAATAGCAACTCGGCGCAGAGCAGCCACGGAGTGCCCCCATTGGTGCCTCTGCCTCCGTCTCCTCTGGACTTGTCAGGTGCCACAAAGAAAGCACCTACGCCTAAACTGAAAGTCAAGGAGCATCTGGTGGATCCTGCCCATACACCAAAACTTTTGAAGGCAGACCCGTCTCCAGAAGTCACTACTCCCCACACTCCGCTCTGGCACCCACTTTTTGGGAGGTGAGTATCAATGGGTATTTGTAGTTCTAGTTCGGTAGCTCGTAGTTTTCTGTGATTGAAGTATTAATTTTATACAATAGGTGAGTATGGTACTCACTTCTTTCACAGATTAGTGAACTGAAAATGTCAGAAAGTATCTTAGGAAAGTAATAGCAAGTGTAAATTCCAGAATACATTAGCTTTATAGCCATACAGGATGAATTATCGAATTGATGCCCAGATTTCAATACCATGTAAGTCTGGTTTTGAGTAATTTTACAGGATTGCATAAAACTTAAAATTTTCAGGACCCTTCTTGACATCTTGATCATTATGAAAATCTATTGTGTGTGCCCTTGTTTTTGAGAATAGACTTGGAAGTTTTTAACACATGATAAGCAAATTCTTTAGGGTTTCTGAAATATATATATATATATATTTGATTTTAGGAAGAAATAAAATTGATTTTAACATTGACCATTGAAAAGAGCTTTCTGACATTTCATCCTTATTAAAACTCCTGTCAATTTTAAGAACGAAAATTCTCACCTTTCCTTCTTTTCAACTTTTTTATTTTTCTTTTGTTTTAATTCCTGCTTTCATAAAACATACTTAATTTTTTTAAAATTATTCCCTACCATACTCTCACTGATGTTTAAATCAATGGTTTCAGCGTCATGAGCAGAATGATATAAAATATAACTAAAGCACAAAAGACAATCTGGTATATACTTTATTCATTATGCCAGGATAATAAAACAATCAAAGAGCTTTTAATTAATGGAAGTTCTAAAAACATTAAGATGCGCTGGGTGATTTCATTTCATTTTGTACGTCCTTATGGTTCTTTAGGCCCAGAAAATATTTGTGGATGTAATTGCTGAATAACTGGTTGGTCTTATCTGCTAACATAATATTTGAGATCATTCTTGCATTTATATTAATAAGTATTCAATTACTTTAAAAATTATCATTATTTTCTCACTACATTATTATTTTAGTAAATTATCATTATTATTGTTATTACTATTATTATTACTGTGGCTATTACTATTATTATTATTATTATTTTAGTAATGTATTTTTATATATTATTGTTATTATTTTAGTATATAATTATTATAGTTTATAAAATACTATTTTGAATTGTTGAAAATTATGTTTAATTGAACTTTCTTTAGTAATGTAATTGAATTACTAAATCATTTAAATTGAATGATGAAAATTAATTATGGTTAAACTGTAGTATTTACCCGCCTATTTTAAAAGTAAAAATTGCAAATGAATCCACTTTGCAGCGCCACCTGTTTCCAAGATTTTTAGTTAAATAGCCGGATTGTAGAATTTCCTTTCTGATTCGGATGTTGGCATGGCGGTCGCCCAGCTATTTGGATTTGGAGTCTTTAACATTTGTAAGTAGTCAATCCGGGTGATAAAACCCATCCCGAAATGTACATAAAAATATTTTTTTAAAAAACTTCTAATATAATTCGTGACGAAATCCCCTCCGAAAAAAAATTGTTGCTTCACCATCGCTTGTGGTGTATTTAAGTCTGTGGAGAGTGGGAGGGCGAGGGGAAGGCGAACTGCGCAAACCTCCAGAGCATTCGGTGACGCCCGTCGCCCCCATCCCCCCCACCCCCCACCCGCGCCCTCCTTCCTCCCCCGCTCGGACACGGTCGCCGAGTTGCGCGCCTGCGTCCTCCCCCCTCACCCGCCACCCACCCCCACCCCGCCACCCGCCTCGATTTCCATGCGTGCTTCCAAGATGGCTGTCTTCTTACTCTCTCCGTCATAATAATATTTATGACGCTATCTTGTTTTCTTCACTGCTGTCTTTTTTTTTTCTTTTTTTTTTTTTTTTTTCTTTTCTTTTTCTCTGAATTTCGAATGTGTTACAAGAGAGATTGATGTAAGAAGCTTTTATTTTCTGCATTGTTGTTCTTCTGCTCTGCTGGAAGTGGCCATGTTGCTGTTCTTTCCAGTTTTCTTCCCTTCAGATCATTTTTGGGCTTTCGAATTCGTTGCAGGGGGTTGACAAATTTGTAGAGAAAAAAAACAACATTTTTTTGCATCTCTGTTCGTCTAGCGAAAAATTTTCAATTTTGTATGTAGTTGCAATAGCGAAGTTTCGTTACAAGATGGTGCAACAGTAATCATTTAAAACTGAGAATGATATTTTGACATATCTCTACATAATTTCTGAAGTATTTTCTTTTGTTAGAGCGCAGTTTTAAAGTTTTGAAGCTGTAATTACTGGTAATAGTTACTACCATATGGTGCAAGTCAAATTCTTGCATTTACATTCTTGTGACCCCTAGCAAGATAATTGATAATTTAAAACACATTCGAATAAGGATGTGGAGTTCTAATAAAAATTGTTTTTTGAAATTGTTTTTAAAAAATGGTTCCATGTCGAATTTATTTTCAAGATAAGATTTTCTTAGGGACAGGGTCTGAAATGATTTATTTAGTTGGAGGTGTAATGATATGTTGCAGGACTCATGTCACAAGCGAAACAGCACTGTAAATTCCCTTCGTTCATTCTTTCTACCCTTTGAAATGTTTTGTAAATAACAGAAGGGTAAAAGATTAACTGGATAATTGTGACAAAATTGTATTTTGAAACAATTGTAAATACCAGATCTTTTATAACACTGCGATATTAGGTGCAAAACTAAGGATACGCAGGCAATTCATCAGCTTCAACGATTTATGTGTTGTCAGTTTTTCTCCATTTTTTACAATTTTTAATATTTCACATTGCTTTACTTTACATTGCATTACACTTTTCATTACTTTTGACCGAAATAAATTTGGATCTCCTACTTGTTTTGATAAACCTGACTTCACATAGCAGGTGAGAACGCTGTGGGAGACAGTTGAGAGGTCCCACAAATCCTACCTTCGAGAAAATCGGTTACATTAGGCATGTAAATAAATTCCATGATAAATACATAAACTGAGATTCCATGAAAAGTGTGAAGGACATCAATGTAAAATGTGATTAAACAAATACTAATTGCTGCAGTTTTCAATGAATCCTCTGTAGTGTTATTTCTTCAGAAATTTTGTATTAACTTTGTAAGACCAATTTAATACTAATCAATTAATTTTCATTTCGAGAGTCAAAATTTACCTCAGACATCAATAATAAAGCATTCAGGGGTGTATGAAAACACTCGAGAACTGCAGTTGTTTTTTTTCAAACGTGTTATTGAACCCACTCCCAATTTTTATTAGTGATTTGTATGTCGCCGAGAGTGTTTCCTCTCGTCGAAATGAAAAGAATGCAAGTCTATTTGTAATTCGCTGTACTTAAAACACCATACGTGTTGCTATAACTGTAACTATTAGTAATTTATGCATTTTAAAAATAAAATAAAATTATGATTGAAGTGAATGCCAGAAGTGATATATAACAACATCGGTAGGTTGGAATCAAATTTCGAACTTCATTAGTCGACACGAGCATTCGTTTCTGTGCTGTGTACTGTTTACTTAATTTTCCTATCTGCTGGTGTAACCAGTAGCATGGAATGAAAAGCCACATCCTATGTATTAGTCAAGTGTCATTTCACTAGGTGCTGTTGAATCTGTTATCGACTGGGGCGCCCGTGAGTTGGCGAGGCGGGGAAGGCTGGGCTAGGCGGTCTGGCAGGCTGCGAGGCAGTCTGGGCGTCCCAGACTGCGGCGTCGGGGGCGAGGGCCGGGGCAGGAGGGCGCTGGCCGCGGTTACCTAACTCGTCCGCCCTTGACTCGGCTCAGCTGAGCGTGGCGTGACGCGTCGCGCCCACTCGTCCCAAGCTGCCGAGGAGAACGCTTTGTGGTGGGGCTAAATCGAACCTCAAAATACGAAAACCTTGATCATTTGAAATCTAATCAGAAAACCTTCATTATTCGAAATAAATGTAATACGAAAAGACCGATAATTATTTTAGTTTCCATTGAGAAAACGTCGGTTTGTCGAAAATAATTACGATTTTTTTGATGTATTTAAGCCGCTGTCTCAATTCGTACCCAATCGAATTTACCAAAGAAAAGTTAGTAATTCTAAAATAACAAGAAATCGCTGGAAGAGATTCTCATCGGTATCATCTTAACCGAATTAGTAGAGGATTGCCATCGAGTTTCGTTTGAACTTGACCGATCAAGTGGTAGCACAGTTTCGTTTCACAGAATTTTGTATTTAATTGCTTCAATATGTTAAACTCGTCTTTCTATCTATACGCCACCTGCACCTGCCAAGATCTGTGTACGCTTGTTTTCTGACGGCACGCGTGAGATAACCGATCACTTTACTTAAACAGATCGTAAGTCACGTGCAGCGTGTTTTGATAATATGTGGTTGAACGTGTTGCATCACGCGCGTGCAAACAGTTGATACATTTGAATGCTCTAAAATGTAAATGTTATTTTGCATCATGCATGCAGCAGATAATTGGTCACTTTAGAATGGGTTGTAATGTTAATTCTGCAATCCTTGGAGAAGAATTGACATCTGTTATGTGATTTTACAAAAGGATGTTAGTAATTTGATTTAGCAGGTTTTTTTTTAATACTTAATTGCCAAGTTTTGCATTTGTTCTCGCTTTTCTCCTTAGCATTTCTCCACGTGACAACACACTGTGCGTCTAAAAACCATTGTGTTCACTCCTCCCTCAGGTTTGTTCATTTATATTCCCATTATTACAGTTTACGATGGACTGCGTAAGAAATCTTTAGTAGTATGGGTTCCACACACACACACACACACACACACACACACACACACAAATGAAATGTCATGGCATTGTAATAACCTGCGAATAGAGATTCCCCGACTGATTGAATCTTTCAAGACGTACTGAAGATCTTTCGGCTTCTTAGAAGTGTCAGTAGTATCCGTCAGTTGAATCAGAATATTCATCCTGCATGTCCGGTAGTCTCGTATACGCGACTGCTGGTCTCATTTGAATCTCGAATGCAATTTGAACGTACACTCCCGAGCATTGTCGTGGGAGGACATGCGAACCATTCCCATTT